CAAAAATCAAAAATGCTTATAATAGTAGTGCATAAATCAAAGAATTATTTTGCATAGTCACAGTATTTAATTTTGCAATTTTAAACGACTTAGGAGTGAATATTGCTGTTCGCTCCAAGAGAGAAGTGCCTTAAGGGTTATAGCGCAAAAATCGAAAAATGCTTGGAAATAATAGCGCATAAATAGCGCATCATTTCATAATTTTTTCATTAAGATTTGATTAAGTGGGAAGGCACGTTCGCTGATCATGTATATCACTAGCATTCCTTGCGAAAAGAATGTTAGAAGGATACGAAACTAGCACTCCTTGCGTAAAGAATGTCAGAAGGACACGAAAGGTGTGGAATGGGGTCGATGACGACGTATCTTAATCTGAAAAAGTGGCAATTCGGAACTTTGCGTCGCGATATCTCCACTTAGGGAGAAGACATACAGAAAAAATAAAAACATTTTCATTATATATTTCGAGCGGTTGCAATTGATTGAGCACACTTAAAACTTGATTGATTCAGCTCTTATTGAGTTTCTGATAACTTCGATCTGACGCAACTCGCCGGTTCGCGTAAAGAATGCACGTTCGTGTATCGCGCCAAAGCTTAGCGCCGTGACACTACTAGTATCTCCAGACATTGCATCTTTCTTTCCAATATTTAATCCGCTTTCCATTTCATTTAAAGAACATGATGGCCGTTTTTATGATTTTATTATAGATTTTTAATTCTTTCCGGCCAATAAACTGTAATAAATCTAAAAAAATCTTTAGTATGGCGGATGATCGACATTATAGTTGTTGTATAACTATATATAAGCACAAGATCGAATTAATATGTTCAATTTCATTGAAAATAACTTAGAGTAAATCGAAACGCATACGTAGATATATATTAAAATATTTGTCATCAGACATCAACTGTTGAACTTTTACTATTGGGGAAAGTAGTCTAAATCGGACCGTGTTCCAAACAGAGTGGCCCAGAAAAATCCAGTTTACAAAAACCCAAATATAAAAACCCAAGTACAAATTGCAAAAACTTAGATGTATATCAAATTTCCTTGTTTTGTATAATATTAATATACCTTCGCATTTTTAAACAAAAACTCATTAAAATAACATATTTATCAATTTATTATTTTTTAATTATCAGTTTATTAAATTCATAATGTATATATATGGTATCCGACGTAACTGTGATCACGATTTTTCCGGCATTTCCGATGATCTAACAAAAATTAATTTGGATAAAAATTAGTCAGTTTTTAATCTACAAATTGCAATATTAGAAATTTGCAAAATACTCTTTTTTAAGAAAAAAATCAAGATCACTCTAACTTTTTTTAAATGGCATTACATATTTTTTATTTCATAATATTGTAACTGATGTCAAGACAAGTTTAATAAAATCTGCTGATCTTGAGATGACCTTATAGTCATGAGATTAATGAAACAAAGAATTATTTCTTCACTACATATTGTTACAATTTTATAATTTCACATATCAGATTCGTTTCAGTCTTGGGAACTTGATAGTAATTCATCAAGAACAGATCGTTTAACTAACATTGATCATTGATTATATATAACTTGCTGATGATGATTCCAAAATTTGTATATGATAACTATATAAATACTATATAAAATTTGTATATGATAACTGATTCGTATATGATAACTAGCCATGCTACAAAATTTAGACAACATTGTGAATCAGTTATACGTAAATATTGTGCTTTAGTCATTTTGTAAGAATGATAATGATTCTGTTTTACCATCTCATCATGAACAGAACTCTTAGGTAAACCAGTTTCAGTAGCAACTGCATGAATGGAAGTGTGCGGATTTTCTTCTAAATGTGCTAAGAAGAAAAATTCTAATAAAAATGAGAAAATGGTTTAAAACATTGGAATTATATTAACTGAATTACCGGAAAATTGTTGAAAAAATTAAAGATTTATACGATAAAAGTAATATCTCTTAAATTCGATATAATAGATTAAAATATAATTAGTAAAATACACATTCCTATCCTTCCATTTCTATCTCTGTTTTCAAAGAAGGCTAACCTTTGAAAGACATTCTGTATTATTATGTAATTATTAATTTCGTTTATTAATATTATATATTTTTACTTAATATCTAATGTAATGACCGTAATTATGTAATTATTATAAAATAAAATTAATTATATAAATAATATTACACTTATAATTGCAATAGTACTGTAAGATTAAGGTAAAAAGCTAAATTAGTTAGACAAGCTAAAAATTAAAACTTTAGTTATTATATTTTAAGTCAAAACAAAAAATATAAAAACTAATGAAAACTAAAAATACAATACATATATATAAATAAAAACTCATAAAAAACTAAATATATTTAGTTTTATTTTTTTTTAATATCTATTTAATAAAAATATCTATTTAAAAATCTAAATCTTCGGTTTTATTTTTGATTTGCTAATATCGATATATTTTAACGAGTTTTTCAACTTTTTTTACTCCCAGCCTATTTCTTAGTTTACTCCATATTAAGCCAAATGATGAAAATAGTCTTTTGATAGCTGCAGAAATAGCTGAGCAACCATATAATTTTGAAAAAGAAATACATTTCTTGTTTTTGAAAATTGATAATACCTGGTCTAAATATACTCATAATGCTCCGTCACTTATAAGCTAGCATATCTACAATAAACAGGTCTTAAGATAAAATTCAGTATCTTATTTTAAATAACATTACACCAGTTAAATATTCAAGATAATTTTCTGCCAGCCAATTTTCAGCTTCATTCTCCAATTCAACGAATTTTCTAAAAATAAAAAATAAAATATAGTATGTAATAAGTTTCATAATCACAATATTTTGAAAACATATTGATAAATTCTCTTTGAATTTCCTAGATTCTAATGAAATTAACCAATTGATATTGAATCTTTATAATTACGGAAAATCTAGTGGGTTTAAGTATGCATTGCATTAAAAATCGAAAAATATTCTTAATTTAGTAATATTTTAGGTTTGGAGTTATTTGTTATTGTATCAGTAATAATAATTTATTTACTGAGTATATTTATCTAGATATTTCGGATCCATCATATACGCTAAAAAGTGAAATGGTTGCATTGCTTGTATAAACCTTGTATTGATATTCTTTCTTCTATAAGTTCATATTGTTTAATAATTTTCTTCATATAATACATCGACGCATCAGTCAAAATAACATTTCTCCTTGTAGCTCAAGTTCTGCACCTACAGCTTTAAGTTACTCTTCCAAGTCCAGAGAATTTTTATAGATGTTTATATCGTTAATTTTTCGTTTAATGTCATTTATTTCACCTGGGTATTCTTTTATAATTTTTCGATATATAGTATAATTTTGATTATGTTTGTATGCATAGTAATTGTGAATTCCATCTAGTATCGTTTAGAATCTGGGGCATTTTTCTATTTTTCTGACATAACCATCGAAGTTGATGATTGCGCCATGTTTGATCTCAACTAAAGTTTTATTATAGTCTTAGGAGTTATTGAACTTTCTACTAAATTTAAATAATGCGAAATGCATCCATATGTTAAAATTTTGGAGTGCTTTTCTTGTATATTTTTTCAAAGTAATAACATTTTGTTCTTGTTGTCAGTAAATAACTACGGCAAATACATCTTTTTTATATTTTGTTTTGCACAATTCGATGGCCTTCAATAAAATTTCCGCACAATATTGCGCTGTTTTTTTTCAGCCCCACAGTTCATTGCAGATAATAATTAGGAATTTCTGCCAGTATAAGTTGCAATAATCAGATCATTTTGTATATTAGACCATTCGTTTTGCAGAATAATAATTGTCTGTTGAAACGTTCATCTAATAAATCTACAGTCATTTTTAAATCGATTTGTTCACTAATTTTATCCAGTGATCCTCCTTTTTACGATTAGGTGATTTATAACCGGGGCGTAATTCATTAAGCATTTCTCAATATGCAAGATATTTCATAATTGGAAAGAAAATGTTGCGTACAAATTTGCAATTTCATTTGCGATTTCAATAATTTTTTCTTTGCTTGCTTTTATTATACATCCATCCATTGAATTTTATTTTATTTGCGATTCTGTTATTACATTGAAAATAATTTATATATTAGATTTATTAATATACATAATGAACTAATAAATAAATGGATCAATTTTAATACATTTATTTATTAGTCAAAATGACACATAGCTGATAAAATGCACAAAATTAAGTATTAAAACTAATTAAGTATTAAATATTAAAACTTTGTTGAATTTATTCACGAGTGAGCATTTGATTAATGAACTTGTGTTAAATTTAATTTAAATTATGAGTGGACTTAATTCGATACTTAAAATATGTTAAATTTTTAAATTAAAAATTTTCTTTTCTACTATGTACTGCAGGGTTGGCAAAAAGACGTTTTTTTTTTTGTTTTGGCCTGAGGCCAATGGTCAAAACTGGTTTTAACCAGTCAAAATTAGTTTTAATTTGTTAAAATCATTGTCAAAATATATTTTTTGCTTTTCAAGAACTTTTACGATTTCTTATTGTTGCAAGCTCACTAGATATTGCCTAATGTACTTCGATAGTTTCCACTGTTTCCAGCTTTAATTTTTTTTTCCTACCTCCGTATTCATAGTCACGATTCAACTTAAAAATCTGATATGAACTAGATTCAAGTCAATCTTTCACATCAAAAACGTTTCTTAAATCCTCCTTTTCAAAATGCTTCTTAAATTTTTCATTTGTCTTGTTTAAGAAACGCTTACCAGATTCATGATTCAAGCTATTCATACACGATTCTGAATCTTATTTCAACATTTCTTCATTCATAGAAATAATTCATATTTTAAAATTCGTGATTTGAATCGAAGTTCAAATCGCAGTTCTATCAAAACATCTCGAGAGCGATTTAACCTCTTGTTGGTGATCTTTTACAGTAATCTTTACATGTCACAACTAGTTAAACTGCTTTAATATTTCTCTTCTAAAATGAATGAATTTGATTTTGAAATCGACGAAGATTTTTACGAATTTGTGGATTACATTTTCTTGAGAGATAGAGTATCGAAGCGTTATGTGCGCGATGCACACAATCTCCTCGAAAGGTGGAATGAAATAGAATTCAAAAAAAGATATTGATTTAATAAAAATATCATAATAAGTTTCATTCTACCTCTCATTGATGAAGCGTTACACAAAAATTCACAACGAGGTCTACCCATACTACCATTATTACAAGTTTTGTGTTGCTTACGCTTTTATGCAACAGGAAATTTTCAAGTAAAAAAACATTTTTACTTTATGAATAATAATAATAATAATAATATAGATGCTAACAATTTGAAGCGTAATCTTTACAGTCTTTTTAACAATTATCTTTTTAACAGATAGTATGCGGTGATCTTTTAAGCATGTTACAATCAACTATAAGCCGAATTGTAAAACGCGTATCAAGATTGTTGACCTTGCAGTAAACAGTTTATTAAATTTCCAATAACAGCAGCTGATGTACTTGCATATAAAATTGCATTTTAACAACTGGGAACAGTAGGCAATATTCCAGGTATCCCTGGAATTTGTTGGTGCGATTAATGGAACACATTCGTATTGTTAATATTGGGTTCGTTCGGAAAGTTCGTGCCGACTAACCCATATAATTTAATAAATGTATACTAAAATTTAAATCTGCGTTTCAATTTTTCTTCAACATCGGCACGAACTTTTCGGACAATCCAATATATCCGGATCACAACATCTAGAAACCTTCCGTAATAGAAAGACTTATATTTCCATTAATATGCACTCCTTAATATATTTAAATATATACATATTTATATTATAAAAGTTCTAATTATATTTGAATCTTTCTTAGAAAAAGAATTAAATAGAAACTATAAATAAGTATAAACATTTCTAAAATGCATAAATATTAATTGATAGGCTATAGCAAGATCACATACCAGAAATATATTTTGAATATTATAGCGAGATATGCGGGAAGTATACCCAACTATATTCAGAACATCTAGAATATATACGAAATTATTAGATCGAGAAATTCATGGTTCTCTGCTGTGATGCTGCATGTGCTTCTTCAAGTTTTCTTTTTACACCTGTAAATAATCCACAAAATGCAGCAAAAGAACGATATAACAGAACACATAAACATATTAAGTATGGGAAAAAGTTCGTAGGGTTTTTCCCGTTAGATGGCATTAAAAAAGCGCCACGAACTTTTTCCCACACTTAATACTTAGAAATGTAATTGAAAAAGCCTTTGGAATTTGGAAAAGAAGATTTCCGTGTTTAAAAAGAGGTTTAGAAAATAGCCTTATAACCGTCTCCAATATTATTGTTGCTTGTGCGATCCTTCACAATATAAGTCTACAAATTAATGACGAAGCAAAATGACATTGAATTTCCGTTGGACGAATCAATTCCAAACGATCGTGTACAATCACTTGAAGACATTGCTGCGCGTCAAGCATTAATTCTCAATTATTTTAAGTAATTAAGACAATCAAAGTAAATTATAATAAGATTTTATTTGAAATATTGTTAATTAATAAATGTTAATTAATTAATTAATCAATGTTAAAATAATAACTTAATTAATATTAAAATAATGACTTAATTTAATTTAATTTAACTTAATTTAAATATTACTCACTTTTTTGATTAAGGTAGTATATGAAGTCTATTGTATATATACATATTGTATATATACATATTTATATAATAGATTTCATATGTGAATATTGAATACTGTTACAAAAATGTTTATATAAGAGCTAAAAGTAGCTAAAAGAAATTAATGAATATATGTATATATTCATAAGCATTTCCTAAGAGCTGAAAAAGATTTTTTCGCAATACAGGATATTGAGATTGTAAGCAGGAGTTTTATCATTTTTGTATTGTATATTCTGACACAATTTCTCTCATGGCTATATCTTCTTTAAGAAAATTAACGGCATCTTTTAAAATAGAACTAGATTTTTCTGGCCTCCACTATATATCAAAAACATCATTCAATGTAGTTTTAATTTTCTCCTGTCGAAATTTTATACATGGTATTGCAATAATACAATCAATGTTACTTTCGTCTCGTCGAAGCGCTATATCTGGGCACTAATGAAATATCGATCAATAATCGTAAAAGAGGCAATCGCCGATTGAATTGTAAATATGAAATTTATCATATATAGTTTAATCAACTTTCATTTTTAATAAAATATTAAATAGTAAGTTATTATTATAAGTTATTATTATATTTCATCAAAAAATAATTTCTATTCTTCGAATTTCTAAGTGTGGAATTTCATATATGGAAAAATTTCAAATGTGGACTACTTTATATCAATCACATTATAGTCGACACTCCTGATTATAACTATTGTAGAAGATATTGCATCTGATGTATCATTTACGTTACAATGATTGTTGCTACTAGTGCTACTACATGCATCAGTTGAGCCAGATATGATGTTATTAATATCGCTATTAATATTATCAATAATTTCTAATTCATGTTCATTACTTTCGGTATTACTAATATTAGATATGTTTTATCGTAAGTAATTTTGACACTTTTTCAAGTGTGATCTAATCCACTCTATTTTTACTTTTCAGAAATTAATTTGAACGTAACAATACTTACAACACTTATCAATAATATGGTTCCCATTCTTGACATTTTCTTCGACCACCACCATTGTTAGTCCCATGAATGGCTTCTCGTCCGTTATTTCTTTTTTTATTATCCACATCGAACTTGCCTATAAACTGTTACGAAAGCGTATGGAAAAGACGATCGAATAACGATACAGATGTTAAACTGAACGTACCCCCAAATATATTTCAATGAGAATATACAAATACACAGGCGAACCGAACAGTAGCTCGTGTATGCGGGAACGACGATTATAACAATGGTGGTAACGACCGAACAGTACAGATAACACAAACTCAAATCAATCGCGATAGAGGGTTACGAATCGACGAGCGATCCGCATAGTGACTTCCTATGGCAGACGGGGAATTTGCGATATCTCCAACACCCTCCCTCAAATTTTCGTCTGGCGGATCCCGATATCCTTGAGTCCAAAACCTCGATACAGGATGAATACTTTCGTTTCCTCAGAGCCTTGGTTAAAACATCCGCTATCATCGGTGGAAGTGTATCAGCTCCAGTGGATGATCTGACAATGCCTATCTGATAAAGTGATATCTTATGTCTACGTGTTTTGAGCGTGAGAAAAACAGGATTCATGGCTAACTTCCCAGCTCCTTGGTTATCATTATACAGCCTCACCCTTGACAACAAGGTGAGATCTATCTCTGATAGAAATCTGGACAGATATATCACTTCTTTAGCTGTGTCGCTAAGCGCGACATACTCAGCTTCGGTCGATGAGAATACCACCGTCTTCTGCTTCCTTGATTCTCAAGAGATGGTAGCATTCGATAACAGATGATCAACGATCCAGAGTGCAGCTGTCCCAATCGGCGTCAATAAATCCAATGAGGCATTTTCTAGCATTCTTCTAGTATAATTTAATCCACAGTTAATGGTCCTTTTGAGGTATCTGAGGATCCTTTTGGCATACACTCAGTGAGTCTTGTTGTAACGCGTATTGAACTGACTCAGTACATTAACGGCGTAAGAAATGTCAGGACGAGTTCCTTGTGCCAGATACATCAATGAATCCAGCAATGCTCGATAAAGGAATGCAGGGTTGTTAATGTTCTCGTCATCTTCGATGTCGTATAGTATAATCTTGCTATCCAACGGGATTTGTGCAGGCTTGCAATGGCTCATGCCGAATCTCTCCATAACATCCCGTATATAATCAGCTTGGGAAAGACGAATGCCCTTCCTGTCGTAGGATACCTCAATGCCGAGATAATATTTGATGGGTCCGAGATCCTTGATTGCGAAAACTTCGTCTCTCATTCAGTGGCATCGTCGAAGAGCTTGCCTCCTCCGTTTGTAATAAATCCGTCCACGAAATCCTCTTGTGGATTGCTCCCGTCGAACTCTTTCAGGAACTTCATGTCCCTCGCGATGATCTTTCGATTCTTTGGAACCCAAATACGATAGCCTCAACAGGTATCAGCGTAGCTCACCAGAATGCCCTCTGGATTCAAACTTGCCCTTATTTGGCCTCTTGTTCAGGACAAGCATTTTGCATCCGAATGATTACATGACTTACATCAGGTTTTCATAATTCGTAAGGAGCGTTCGTCTAGACTTGGTGATATAGCGATTCCGTATGTGATTAGCTATATTAACCCTTTCAGTCAATTCAGGGGATGTAGCATTACAGGAAGGGTGGTTCCTTAGATTTTTGAGGCTGAATCTGAATTCGAAGTCGAATTACAAAAAAAGTCAAATCCAAGATGGCGGATTCAAAAAATTAATAATATTGCGAAATTGTATAAATTTGAGCTTTTTAGGGTTTTGGGATAGCTGAATCCAAATCCGATGTCAGATTACAAAAAAAATCGAATCCAAGATGGCGGATCATAGACGGCGATTCAGCAAATTGACAATTTTTCGATGTTTGAGAAAAATCAAAGCAGGAGTGCTTTTTTTTTAGAAATCTATATCTTGAGAACATAAATATTGCTTATGTTATGTTTATGGCTTTTCATTTTGAGACATCTATTTTGAAATGGCTGATTATAATGCCTTCGAACGTTACATTTGTTAATCTTTTTCATTAAAAAAGGGCAGAAACTTATTCCCATACCCAATACATTAACAACAATAATATATAGTGTTAAAAATAACTGATTCAGTGCAATAATAATTGACCGATTGCAAAAATAATCACTTTTTTGTAATTCTGGTCGCCATATTAGATCCGCCATTCTGAATTTAAAAAATCTGATGGCGGATTTGAATTCAGCGATCTCAAAAACATTGGAAACAATGATTTGCAATGCATGTTTATTATCAAAATCTGCCACAAATGAATTAAATTTGGAAAAACATTTTTTGGTATAAATTTGTTTAAATAAATAAAATTATTAGATAATCATAAAACATGTCCTGCTTTTTGAAGTTTGGATTTTATTTTATCTGAAAATACCCCAGCAAAAAACCCCGTGAGTTCTGAAAACAAAAAATATGATAAAAAAAAGGAGATCAAAAGGTGTTTCTTATATGACCTATTGTGACTGAGGATTAATGGCAGCCAGCTTCATAGGAGTCAAACGTCCTTCATCTTTGACTTAATAATCACAGCATGTAAACCACAGCATTAAAGTACAATTCTTTTTTTCTTACTCGAAAATTTTATTCGAAATATATATAATATTAGGTGAGGGAAAAAGTTCGTGGTGTTTTTCCCGTTAGATGGCATTAAAAAAATATACATAATTAAAATATACATAACGTATATTACAATATATCGAGTAAAATTTTCCGGAGAGGACGTTTCGGAATGTAGCCCTAATATGTATTGGGAATACAAATAAGTTTCCGCCGTTTTTTATCAAAAATTAAGCTTTTATTGTGAAAAAACGATACATAATGTTTTATTCAAAGTAATGGCCATCACTAGCCACTACTTTTTCCTATCTTTCTGGTAGCATGTGGATACCGCGTCGGAAGAACGCTTCATCTTTTGAGGCAATCATCAATACAATTTTTGGTATCTTCATATGATATGAAGTGCTGTTCAGACAGGCCATGCGTCATCGATCGGAACAAATGGTAGTCGGAAGGAGCAATGTCTGGAGAATACAACGAGTGGGGTAGAACTTCCCATTTGAGTGTTTCTAAGTAGGTTTTGACCGGCGCCGCAACATGTAGTCGAGCATTATCATGCAGAAGAATAATTTTGTCATGCCTGGAGTAGTAGTGGGCGCGTTTTTCCTTGAGTGCTCGGTTCAATCTCATCGATTGTGTTCGGTAGAGAGCCCCAGTAATAATCTCGTTTGGTTTGAGCAACTCATAATACATGACACCAAGCTGATCCCACCAAATACACAATACTAAATACACATGAGTTTTTTCCATGAATATTCGGCTTGGCTGTCTTTGTTGAAGTATGGCCAGGCGGTCCCCATGATTTCCTCTTCTTTAGGTTATCGTAGTGGATCCATTTTTTATTACCAGTGACGATGCAAAAAACCCTTTCATTTATGCCTGGCAAGCAGCATTTCACATGTGAAAAATCGGTGTTCAACGTTTCTCGACTTCAGTTCATATGGAACCCAATTCCCTTGCTTTTGAATCATTCCTAATGATTTTAAATGATATGAAATTTGTTGAGTCACTCCTAATGTAAGTGCAAGTTCTTTTTGCATTTGGCACGAGTCTTCATCCAATAATGCTTCCAATTCCGTGTCTTCGTACACTTTCGGCCTTCCGCTATGTTCTTTGTCTTCGACGTCATTCA